AACCTGCCTGACTGATACCAACACAGTGAAACCTGCCTGAACTGAACACCAACACAGAGAAACCTGTCTGAACTGAACACCAATACAATGAAACCTGTCTTAACTGAATACCAACACAGTGAAACCTGTCTGAACTGAATACCAACACAGTGAAACCTGTCTGAACTAAACACCAACATAGTGAAACCTGTCTGAACTGAACACCAACACAGTGAAACCTGTCTGAACTGAACACCAATACAATGAAACCTGTCTGAACTGAATACCAACACAGTGAAACCTGTCTGAACTGAACACCAATACAATGAAACCTGTCTGAACTGAATACCAACACAGTGAAACCTGTCTGAACTGAACACCAACACAGTGAAACCTGTCTGAACTGAATACCAACACAGTGAAACCTGTCTGAACTGAATACCAACACAGTGAAACCTGTCTGAACTGAACACCAACACAGTGAAACCTGTCTGAACTGAACACCAATACAATGAAACCTGTCTGAACTGAATACCAACACAGTGAAACCTGTCTAAACTGAACACCAGTACAGTGAAACCTGGCTAAACTGATCACCAACATAGTGAAACCTGTCTGAACTGAACACCAATACAGTGAAACCTGCCTGAACAGAACACCAGTACAGTGCAACCTGCCTGAACAGAACACCAGTACAGTGAAACCTGTCTAAACTGAACACCAACACAGTGAAACCTGGCTAAACTGAACACAAATACAATGAAACCTGTCTAAACTGATCACCAACACAGTGAAACCTGGCTAAACTGATCACCAACACAGTGAAACCTGTCTAAACTGATCACCTACACAGTGAAACCTGTCTGAACTGAACACCAACACAGTGAAATCTGTCTGAACTGAACACCAACACAGTGAAACCTGCCTGAACCGAACACCAACACAGTGAAACCTGTATGAACTGAACACCAGCACAGTGAAACCTGTCTAAACTGAACACCAACACAGTGAAATCTGTCTAAAATGAACACCAATACAGTGAAATATGTCTAAACTGAGCACCAGTACAGTGAAACCTGTCTGAACTAAACACCAATACAGTGAAACCTGTCTGAACTGAACACCAATACAGTGAAACCTGCCTGAACTGATCACCTACACAGTGAAACCTGTCTGAACTGAACACCAATACAATGAAACCTGTCTGAACTGAATACCAGCACAGTGAAACCTGTCTAAACTGAACACCAACACAGTGAAATATGTCTAAACTGAACACCAACACAGTGAAATATGTCTAAACTGAGCACCAGTACAGTGAAACCTGTCTGAATTGAACACCAACACAGTGAAACCTGTCTGAACTGAACACCAATACAGTGAAACCTGCCTGAACTGAACACCAATACAGTGAAACCTGCCTGAACTGAACACCAATACAGTGAAACCTGCCTGAACTGAACACCAATACAGTGAAACCTGCCTGAACTGAACACCAATACAGTGAAACCTGCCTAAACTGAACACCAATACAGTGAAACCTGTCTGAACTGAACACCAATACAGTGAAACCTGTCTAAACTGAACACCAACACAGTGAAACCTGTCTGAACTGAACACCAATACAGTGAAACCTGTCTGAACTGAACACCAACACAGTGAAACCTGTCTAAACTGATCACCAACACAGTGAAACCTGTCTGAACTGAACACCAACACAGTGAAACCTGCCTGAACTGAATACCAACACAGTGAAACCTGTCTGAATTGAACACCAACACAGTGAAACCTGTCTAAACTGAACACCAACACAGTGAAACCTGCCTGAACTGAATACCAACACAGTGAAACCTGTCTGAATTGAACACCAACACAGTGAAACCTGCCTGAACTGAATACCAACACAGTGAAACCTGCCTGAACTGAATACCAACACAGTGAAACCTGTCTGAACTGAATACCAACACAGTGAAACCTGCCTGAACTGAACACCAACACAGTGAAACCTGCCTGACCTGAACACCAACACAGTGAAACCTGCCTGACCTGAACACCAACACAGTGAAACCTGCCTGACCTGAACACCAACACAGTGAAACCTGTCTGAACTGAACACCAATACAGTGAAACCTGCCTGAACTGAACACCAATACAGTGAAACCTGCCTGAACTGATCACCAACACAGTGAAACCTGTCTAAACTGAACACCAACACAGTGAAACCTGTCTGAACTGAACACCAACACAGTGAAACCTGCCTGAATTGAATACCAACACAGTGAAACCTGTCTAAACTGAACACCAACACAGTGATGCTGATAGTGATTAATCTCTATAATGTCTATATTTCTCAACAGGAAGAAGTAGAAAATCCCCATTATTTCCGTATATTAAAAATGAATTTACCTGAATGCGGATACATTCTGTTTGGATGTTTTTGGAGTGCTGTAGCTGGAGTGGCCTTCCCCATATGGGCTATATTTTTCTCTGAAGTAATAAAGGTAATAATCTTTTTTTGACTCCCATGTGCGAAGCACAAAATGGGAGTCTTTGCAGTTAGTGTGTCTGTATGTGTGTGTGTGTGTGTGTGTGTGTGTATGTGTATGTGTGTGTGTATGTGTGTCCGACTGTTCCACTGCTATCTCAAGAACCATACATCGGTTTGTGATGAAACTTGGTGCATAGATGCTCTGGGCCAATGCA